TATGTTAGATATACTGTTCCCAGGTTGGGAGGGGGCGGTGGTTGGGGGTGAAGTATATCGAAAGTTACAAAATAAGAACGTTGTATTTATGAATTTACATGAAGAATTCTGATCTTGGGCGTATGTTTCTTTTTTTTTTTTAAGTTCAGTGATTTAAATTGAGAGAAAAAAATATAGTCAGAATTTAAATCGTACCGGCAATTTCCACCTAAGACTCCTCTAAAGTCATGAATGGTCATGCTTCACAATCATCAGAATTTTCTTTGCATTGGTACATTCTGTATCGGTAGTGATTTACCTTGACATTTCCGGGTATAACAGAGCTACTTGTATATTATCTGTATGTGGTAAGGTGTCGTCCCATGAGGTCTTACGTATACAGGTTCACATTTATAATGGTTTCTGATATAACAAGGTTTTATGACATTCACACTTCTGCATGTTCTGTATACCAAATTCTTATCTTATTTTCAGACCAAACGAGGATATGAATATTTTCCAGGAAAAATATTGAGTATCAAAGTATCAAATTAATTTCGGGATTTTTTTCTTTCTTGGTATTAAATCACAGAAACTTAAAGAAAATACTGCTTGTCCGCTTTAGGTGTATTCTTGTCAGTTAAGACTGACATATATGTCTCTGGTATAAAGTGGGTTTATGAATGAATGATAAGTCTTGCAAAGGTACAAGATATAAAGCACATTGAAAATTGATTCCTCCGGTCTGTCTCCATTCAAAAAAGGAAAGTTGACGTTAGATTGATTCTGTTATTTTTTTTAAACATCGTTGGTCAAATAGCTAAAGTATGAATACGTTGTGAGATTTTAAATATTTTAATAAGGGCATTCCCGATTAGGTAAATGTAGATCGCTGTGGACGGACCAAGCTATATTAATCATGTAACCGCGATAATTTTCTCTAAACATTGAAATATTCACGGTTAATACCCATGATAATTTGAAAAAGTAAGTACAGTGTTTGGTTTATACGCTCGTTTTCGTGGGCCATTTTTATTTGTAAAATTATTTAATTGAAAGTAATTCAGAATTTCGATGTTACAACAAAATACTCACCTATCTATTTTAAAATTAAGCTTACGCAAAATATAAAAGATATACATGTATATAACGGCGATTCAGGTATTTTGCCACCATATTCCTCCCCAAATAATTAATGTTTTTATCATTCATACGAAATGTTGTTCACACCTGTAACGGTGAACCGTGTTGGCTAAAATTCACCGAGTGAAGATCAAAAGAATAGAATTACAGAATGCTAATCTTTTAATTACCTTGAATTTAACCACGCAATCAACAGGTGGTCACTTAGTGTCACAGTACAATACACACTGTATTTACACAGTACTCGACTGAAGTAAAAGCCTTCAGGTGAGAATACAAACATGCATTTGTAAAACAATATCAGTTATATATATTTGTTCAAAGTATCCGTCGGAAAAAAAATTCATGAAAATATATTCTGTTGTATGATTTACTTTTATTACTATAATCATAGCAGAAATCCTTTAAATATAAATTGTACATTTTAATTTTGAAAGTTGCACGGCGGATCACTTTACTTTCTTAATTATTAGTTGGTTAATAGCTACGCCAAAAGTCGTCGATGCGCTTTAAATCGCGTTATTAGATGATTAACGAACAAGACTTACAACGAGATTTATTCACTCCCGGCATGCAAAAAGACTTAAACTACGTCACATAAGTCAGGAAGTTGGAATAAATTCAATTATTAATTCCCAATTTTCTTCTTTATTAGTGTTCATATCCAGATAAAACTTGGTAAATATGTTTTTTATGGTATTATGAACATAATAAGATGAAAAGTAAAAAATCGCGAATTTTCCCTTTAACTCATTCCAAGCTGACTTGTTTATTTAAAAAAAAACAATTTCATTATTAATCCATCAAAACAATAACTACAACAATCAGTGAGATCAAAGACATCGTAATCATACCTAATCAGCATTCTAAATTACAAAACTTTGAATTTTCGGAATACCAAGCCTTTTCCACCTCAGGAATAGATTACCTTAGTTTACCTTTGGCAAAACTTTTAGGAATTTTGGGTCCTCAATGCCCTTCAACTTCGTACTTTATTTGGCCTTATTAACCTTTTTGATTCGAGCGTCACTGATGAGTCTTTTGTAGACGAAATGTATGTCTGGTGTACAAAATTTCAATCCTGGTATCTATAATGAGTTTATCTATAATCAACAGTCATTAAAAGTAATTCTGAATAAAAACAATTGTAACAATGAAGCCAATTAGCCTGATTAATGCTCCAAAACAAAAACCATTTTTTTTTTTATTAATTTCCATGTTTATTCATGAATTTGGAGAGATATATATTTTTTTAATATTTACCATTTAAATATCTGAATAAGATTATAAAACCTTAAATTATACCATAAATATTAATTTATTTTTTTTTAAATTAGAGCAAACGGACCCAGGGCGAACGGACTCTATGGGCGAACGGACTCAGGGCGAACGGACCCAGGGCCAACATGTAATTAGAGCGAGAAAGGACCCGATACCTTAAATACCCATATTTCCATTTTGAATTTATCATACGTTTTAAACCTAGCCCTGAAAAACCTTGCACTTGGATAATATTAGTATAGACAACATGTCTATTTGTGCCTACCTTCCAAATTTTTAATATTTTGCTATCCTAATTTGGTACAGATCCTTTATCCTCAAAACTTATCAGGGGCAGTAGGCATGTTTGTATGGTAGTTTGTCACACCTTACATGTATGATTACTAGCCTCTAGGTGTTGGTTTGAGCCCTAGTTGGGAAGTTGCAAAATTAAGGTTTGATTTTCATGTCATATGTGATAAGGTTAGTCAGTTTCCTTCCGCAGGTTGGCACTTTCCTTCAAGTACTACGGTTTAGTACGCCAACAAAACTGACTGCCATGAAATAACCCATATGGTGTAGAAAGTGAATGATGATGTTCATAAAACCAAAGCAAACAATCAAAGTTTTAAATCATTAAAATTGAGAATGGAAATGGGGAATGTGTCAAAGAGACAACAACCCGACCATAGAACAGACAACAGCAGAAGGTCACCAACAGGTCTTCAATGCAGCGAGAAATTCCCGCACCCGGAGGCGTCCTTCAGCTGGCCCCTAAACAAATATATATACTAGTTCAGTGATAATGAACGCCATACTAATCTCCAAATTGTACGCAAGAAACTAAAATTAAAAATAATACAAGACTAACAAAGGCTAGAGGCTCCTGACTTGGGACAGGCGCAAAAATGCGGCGGGGTTAAACATGTTTATGAGATCTCAACCCTCCCCCTATACCTCTAGCCAATGTAGAAAAGTAAACGCATAACAATACGCACATTAAAATTCAGTTCAAGAGAAGTCCGAGTCTGATGTCAGAAGATGTAACCAAAGAAAATAAACAAAATGACAATAATACATAAATAACAACAGACTACTAGCAGTTAACTGACATGCCAGCTCCAGACTTCAATTAAACTGATTGAAAGATTATGTCTTCATCATATGAATATCAGGCACAATCCTTCCCGTTAGGGGTTTAGTATCATACCATCATAACATATATGAGAAGAACATAATCCGTGTCATGCCAACAACTGGTTTTTAAATAAATGTGTTTAGTGCCGATGCAAAGACCCTATAAGTGAATCAATATTAACGCCAAAATATGCAATCTTTATTTATTTATCATTGTCTATTTGTACAAGGAGCATTAGTGGTTGAGCCATTTAAAATATGGTTATTTTACCGAACTATGACCACAACTTCAAGATGTGACATCAGGTCTCTGTTCAATGGGCAGTCCCACAATTAAATTTCAAGTTTCACTTCATACATTTTATATGGTTAATTTGTCAGTTTCCTGCCTCAGTTCTGTATTTTTTTCTGGGTACTTTGGTTAACTCTGCCAATAAAACTGACTGTCTTACATGAAATTATCCATATGATGTAGAATGTGACATTGACGGTTGGCCCCTTTCAAAGAAACCATCAGCATGTACACACAACAATGCTGCAATGCTTTAGACACCATTGATCTAGAGACTTCATGATTTACATGTATAAAGCTTTTAAATATTAAAAAAAATAATTTCCCTACCTACCTACCCACCTGCTGATAGTGTGGGTCGGCAATGCCAAACAAAATTTTTTAAGGGTGGCCTGAGCTGTTTTTCCCCTATTAGTCTTTGTTAAATTTTGCACTTTTCAAAATATTGTACAGAATTTATCTTGTTTCAAATAAAGAAATACTTGGCATAAGTACAAGTTTTGTCCTGTCATGAATTTCTAAGAGCCAGTTGAAATCAGTATAGAATTCCATAAAGAATAATCCTCTTGTTGATAGTAGACTAGAACTGACTTTTAAAACTATACCTTTTGTTTACAGTAATACATCATGAAAACTGGTACCTCACATAATTAATTTTATTCATTTATTGTATAGCAATGTTTCTTGAGCGGGATTTTAAAATTGGATAAAACCAAAAACAAATTTGTTTTATGTGTGTTTTAGACATTTTTCAGATCTGTAGTCAATGTAAGACTTCATCAATATGAAGATATGGTTTGAACTTTTGAGATTTAACTTTAAACTTTTGCTATACAATGAATTTTTTATTGCATGATGTTGTTTCCTTCCGTCATACTAAATTTAAAATCAAATATTTGAAACAACTGGTAAAAAATATTTCTGGCAAGGACAAGAAGTAGCTTAGAAGTAGATTTTAAAGCATGCTAGAAATTTTCTATTTGAAACATTTGTAAACAAATTGTAATTTTATTTTCAGTTTATTGTGGTGTCTTTGAAAGACGGGATGTTTCAAAATGCCAACGTCTTATACAAGACACGGTTTATTGATGGTGTATCTACGGTGGAACGATTCACATCGACCACGGCGCCATCCACATCACGAGATATAACGTAATGACTTTACCTTCCTTTAATATTTTATTTTCAGTTCATTGTCGTCTCATTGAAGGATGGTATGTTTAATAACGCCAACGTTTTATACAAGACCAGGTTTGTAGATGGTGTCTCCACGGTAACCAGATATGTTCAGCACCACAAATCAACATCATCCTCAGCCAATAAAGAAAATGATTCAACAACAGCCAAGAAGAAGCAGTCTGCAAAACGAGCCAGAATTGAAGAGATAGCAACATAGAGAAATATTGTGTTGTAACATGATGAACATACCACAGAATGTCTTCCCTGCCTTTACTCCACATGTGTATATATACAGTAGTTATACATCTTGGTTCTACTTCATTCTTTCCTTTCACAAAACCTCTTATCTGTAAATCTTTTCATGTGTAGACGGATCCTAACTAGTGGTATTCCTTCCCAGACACAACGTCCTCTGAATATGAAAACTAAAAAATACTTGAAATTGCTTAGAAGGGTTTTGAATCAAGATAGTTTTAAAATATGTTAGAATTTTACTAATACTGCATACCCAACATTACAGGACATGCTGTAGAGTATTTAGATTAAGAGGTGTAGACATAGTAATTATAGGATTTTTGTCTTGTTTTAAATGTTTGTAAAAAGCTTGTCTTGTTTTAAGCATATTTATCTATGTTAATGTATTTAATTATTGTATAAAATGGTTTTAATTTCTGATAAGAAATTAAGCAGCCCTGTTTTAGCAGCTAATTATAATGGATAGTACTGTTTTTTATGCCCCCGCCGTAGCGGTGGGGGCATTAAGTTTTACCCTTGTCCGTCTGTACGTACGAACGTACGTCCGTACGTCCCAAAATTGGTTTCCGTTCTCTAACTTCAGTTTGCCTCAACCAAATGTTATGAAACTTATACACAATGCTTATTACCACAAAACACAGATCAAGTTTGAATTTTGGTGGCGTCACTGTAACCGTTCTAGAGTTATGCCTCTTTATAAATGGAATAATTGGAAAAATTTTAGTTTCCGTTCTCTAACTTAAGTTTGCCTCAACCAAATGTTATGAAACTTATACACAGTGCTTATAACCACAAAACACAGATCAAATTTGAATTTTGGTGGCGTCACTGTAACCTTTCTAGAGTTATGCCCCTTTATAAATGGAATAATTGGAAAATTTTTAGTTTCCATTCTCTAACTTAAGTTTGCCTCAACCAAATGTTATGAAACATATACACAGTGCTTATTGCCACAAAACCCAGATCAAGTTTGAATTTTGGTGGCGTCACTTTAACCTTTCTAGAGTTATGCCTCTTTATAAATGGAAAAATTGCAAAATTTTTAGTTTCCGTTCTCTAACTTAAGTTTGCCTCAACCAAATGTTATGAAACTTATACACAATGCTTATTACCACAAAACACAGATCAAGTTTGAATTTTGGTGGAGTCACTTAACCGTTCTAGAGTTATACCCCTTTATAAAAGAAAAATTGCAAAATTTTTATTTTCTTGTAAATATCAAGTAATTTATATTAAAATTGGAGTTATCTTCCTTTGTCCATGATTATAGTTGAATCAACTACAATCAATGCTTTATACAATGCAATGTTTAATTTTGACTTCCACTGATAAAACACAGATCAAGTTGAATTTGGGTAGTGTCACTTTAACCATTATTGAGGTATGCCCTTTATAAATCAAAAGATTGCAAAATTTTTAGTTTCCATTCTGTTACTTTAGTTTGCCCCAACCAAACATTATGAAACCTATACACAATATTCATCACCACAAAACTAAGATCAAGTACAAATTTTTTGTTTCCGTTTTCTAACTTTAGTTTGCCTCAACCAACTGTTATGAAACTTATACACAATTCTTATTACTACATAATACAGATTAAGTACGAAATAAGGTGGCGACACTTTTACCATTCTTGAGTTATGTCCCTTTATAAACATAAAAATTGCTGAATTTTTTTGTTTGTTTCAACTTAATGTTATAAAACTTATACACAACCGTTCTAGAGTTATGCATGTTTACAAATAGAAAAATTGCTGAATTTTTAGTTTCTGTTCTCTACTTAAGTTAGCCTAAACCAAATGTTATGAGACTTACACACATGCTTATTACCACAAAACTAAGATCAAATTCAAATTTGGGTAGCGTCACTTTTACCGTTCTTCAGTTATGTCCCTTTATAACTATATGATATGCAAGCAGGGGCATCATCTGTGTCCACATGTGGACACTATCCACATTTATTAAGTCTTGAATTACTTATTTAAATGGTGGTCTTTATGTATTTTATGTCGGAATAATCAGATTTAATTAGATTTTGATAACAAATCATTTATGTAATTTTTATCTTTTGGATAAGTGTCTTATAAAGCTTATAAAAATGCTGCTAGGTTTAATTCTGCAGCCCAAATAGCCAACTGCTGTTAGTCCAAGATAGCAAGATAATATAGTGCCCCAGGTAAAAATTCTGGAGATTGAGGCACTAAGCCAATGCCACAGGGTATAACTGCTCTGAGAAAGATTGAGGCACTAAGCCAATGCCACAGGGTATAACTGCTCTGAGAAAGATTGAGGCACTAAGCCAATGCCATAGGGTATAACTGCTCTGAGATAGGAGATATAACTTAGTTCTACGTAGCTACAAAGTTTCTATATAATTTTCTTGTTACAAATATTGTTTATATGTGCTAACAACCACAATGTGTTCATCAACAGTCTGACCTCATCACAACGGGGCCATATTTCATGTCATTTATGTAAAATTGGAGCTAGATATAAAAAAGAAGATAGTTTAACTTATGTTGCAAAAACTGATATTACCTTAAATATTGATCAAATGAGAGATAAACAATAAATATATGATAGAATTTTGTAAAAATAATGTCATCATTACTGGAGTGTAATTGTTCTATAATACAAAACCAATAAAATATGCAACAAAATATGTTGTGTTTGATAACATGTCTTCTTGTTAAGTATTCCAGGCATGCAGAGACAATTTTTTTATTTTTTTATTCTTTTGAAAAAAAAAGCCAAAGGAACAAGAAACTTATTTGTGCATTTTGATTTGTGGTGGTTGTTATACATTAAATGTATGATACTGATTTCACAGTACACAGCATGTGATGACATTTTTAGAAGGTCACAACAAAGGTCAAGGAAGCTGATGGTAAAACCATGGCATTTGCATCCAATTCTCAAAACTAAAAGCAGGGCTGCCAAGTCTCACGCATTTAGCGTGAGACTCACGCATTTTCATGCATATTTGGCGGCATTTTCCTTTGATCTATTGTTTTTTCTCTTTGATCTTTACGATTTTGGCCAAATCTCACGCATTTGCATTATTAAAAGTTGGCAGAACTGTAAAAGACATACAACAATTTATATAATAAGGTTTGCATACAGACTTACCATGTACGGTGTACCATAAGTTGAAAGAAGCATTTCATTGATTAATGATTTTGTCTCAACTGCGACAAATGTCCCTGAATGCGAGACATAGGGATTACTATCCAGCAACAGCATAAACTATTAGTATACAGCTTTATATTTCCAAAGGTGGAAGACCTGCATGCTTCATACCTTGTATGCAGATACCTCATGTTACAAAATTTCCGACTTTTATATGTCCATTGTCCTTGACCTCATTTTCATGGTTCAGGAACTGCTTGAAAAAATGTTTTTAGTTTTTTGTCATGTAAAATACTCACTTATTATGAGTAATAGGATAACTAATTTTGGTATATGGCATCTTTGCAATGTTTATATACCCTTCAGACAGGGTTCACCTGACCTCAGCCTCATTTCATGGATCAGTGATCAAGTATAAATTTTTCCGATCAAGTTCATATCTCCGATACAATAAGCAATAGTTCAACAATATTTGGTGTATGGAATGATAGAATGGTGTACATATTTGTCTAACCTGATTCATCTTACCTTGACCTCATTTACATTGATCATTGATAATGTTAAGTTTATGTGATACTTGTAGTAAAACCTTCATATTAAAAACTACCAACATAGATTCAATCATAATCAGCAATACAAAATAAGTAATAGGTCAGGTAATTTAGTGTATAGAACAATTATGAGGTGTACAATAGTTGTCAGAAAAGGTTAGGTTCATCTGACCTTTACCTCATTTTCATGAGATCAGTTTTGCAGATACTTAAAGTAAAAATTCAACTATATTGGTATATATGATTGTGCTGTCAGTAGCTACTTGGTGTATGGTGTCATAGTCTACAAGCAGCAGTTCAGAGATGGGTAGTTAAAATAAAGAAACCACACAAAATATTATTGTAAGTGCTTCCCTATACCACTTCTGTATATCATTTCTACAATAGTCCTTAGACTTACTTCAATGACTTAAAACTTGTGATTAGTTTAAACATGAAGTCACTACAATGAAACAATCTTAGAAGACTCAGTATAGACAAATAATCAATGGAGTGAGACCAGTACAAATTACAAGCTTTAAAGTGAAAGTAGTTACATTGACAGGTAAGTGTGTGCCATCATATCATTCCTGACCTGTGTATAGTAGCATAATTCACTACAGGTATAGAACCTGGCCTGGTCTGAAAGAACATACAAGAAAATAGTACATATTTTCAACAACATAGTTCCTACGCATAGCTGTAACTTTGTCAATAAGAGATATTTGGGTAATTTTGGTATGAAATGAAAGCTTAAGGACTTGGGATCACTGTAGAATCCTTGCTAAATGTTTTTTTTAATAATAAAAAATATGAAATTAAAATAGGAAGGCATATTTACCCTTTTGTTCAGATTAGAAGTACTTGGTTTTGTACTACTAAACTTCTGGGAACCAGTGCGCTTTAATAAAGTCAGTTGAATTTTTCATCACATCAGGATAAGGTATAATTTTGACATGAAATGACTCATTTTATTGAGATGGCTATGAATTGGTGTATTTTGCCCTCTGCACAATTCCTTGCCTCATGTGTACAATTATTTCCAGTTTTTTATCAAGTTCATAACATATCGGCAATGTCGAACAATTTTGAAAATCAGTGCTGATCAAATAAAAAAAAGTGGGGGTATACTGTTTTACCTCTGTCTGTCCATTCATCAGTCCATCCATCCGTCAGTCCGTCCTTCCGTCCCATGAATATTTTTCGTCACATCTTTCTCAGGAACTACAATACAAGGATTTCTGAAATTTGGTTTCAGGGTTTATATAAGTCAGCTATACTGTGTGATGCATTTTCAGATTCATCACTCAACAAACTTCCTGTTTACCGTACACTTGTATCATTTTACACATGATAGCCAAGTTGAAAATTTTCTTTACATTTTTCTCAGGAACTACAATACAAGGATTTCTGAAATTTGGTTTCAGTGTTTATATAAGTCAGCTATACCGTGTGATGCGTTTTCAGATTCATCACTCAACAGCTTCCTGTTTACTGAAATATTTGGGCGGGGGTATCATCAGTGAGCAGTAGCTCGCAGTTTCACTTGTTTAGTTATTGCTCTTGTTAAAATATGTGCGACGCATGTGCAGTGCTGGGTTCATTGGATCTCTGTTCTTTTATATTCATACAAAGACTCCTGGTTAAAAAAAAATTACAGAACCTACCCTTTTTATATTGTTGATCTGTTTCCTTTCACCCTGAATATACTTGAAAATTTTGACAATTAATGTTTAAAAGCAACAGTCACTACAAGGACAACATGACTCTAAATTCATTTAGAAGATATAGCAATGGAATTATTGAGAGTAAACA